ATATAAAAATTAAAAATTCTTCTTAAATTTATATTTATACAACGATTATATTTGACATTGCTATTTTTCACTCAAAACAAAGCAAACTTTTTGCGCTAAATTTTCAGTGCCTGCTGGCATAAATTATTTTCTAAACATCATAAAAATATTACTTAATTCTGAAATTTAATAACTATATATCATGACCTAAAATGCAAAACAAGATACCATTAAAAAATAGAGAAAATCGAAAATCGCTTCCAGATATAATAGCCAATATATAACCAATATTTTTTTTTTTCAATCCGTAAACTTATGAAAAGTAATGTTACGTGGTTTTGCATTTTAGTTGACGATATACATATTAGTTAAGCACACATTTATATATATTAGAAATACTATAATACCGTATTAATTTTTATACTTCTTTGTTGTTTTATTATTATAACTAGTTTTTTGTTTTTAATTAAAATATGTGAGTTTAGTTATTTTCTTTTATTATTTTTTCCTTAATATTTTGTAATAAAAACAATTTTCTTAAACTTTATGAATTTGCAACAAAAGGTCCTGCCTGTATTTAGTAGTTTTTTATGGAACTTGGGTGCATTAGTCTATTTATTTCAATAGTTTTTATTTATTTCTTTTCCTTTTATAATAAAAGTGCTTGTTTGATAACTTACATACATAACAGCAATTTTAAATATTTAACGGTTTTAACATTTGGAACTTTCAGTTTACTTAAGCTTTTGTATCGAATTGTTGTAAGCTTTTTACGATTTTTTAAGTTACAACTTTTCAACAATTTTATTACCGTTACATGATATGCTCGCCATTATTTATCGTTTTTTTATACCATATACATACATAAGTATGTAAATTTAAGCAAATACGTGCTGTACTTAGCTTTTGCTTGAAATGGAAGTCTTCAATCAACTGTTTGTTGCTATTACCTGCTATTACAGTTAGTTAGTGTGTTGGTTTTCACATATTTTGGTCCAGCCAAAATACGGTTAATGCTTTACATTCGCGTTTAAATAGTTTTACGGTTTCTTTGTGTTTTTCATTATGATTTCTTCGGTTTTGCGTCGCCTTTACAGCCAATTGGCATTTGAAAATTGTCAGCGGCGAGTTTACCAAATTTCTTTTGCTTACTAAATTCGTCGTATTTTGACAAGAATTATTATTTTTCCTCTCTTTTTGGCTTGCGGCCTTTGTGGCATCATTTGCTGCAATATATCTTAGCTAAATTTTAACAATTCTAACATCTGTAAAGAGAAATAAACATCGATATTTCTATGAAGTGCTGTAATGTAAGATTTTTATAGTTTTTAGATTCATTATATTGTAACAAATGAAAGATAACACGTATAATTAAGTGTTCGTGGAACATTACGTACTATCTGCAGCATGATTTCGGGCAAATATAAACCCTACACATTTTGAATTTCATGCATTTTGAAGATACGAGTAACGTAGGTCTTAGGAGAAAAATTGTGAAATTACTACTTTCTGAGCCACTGCGTGCTATTGATAAAATTTGTTAGTACAACAAGTTGTATCCGTGCAACCTCCGAAATGTCGATAAGCAACCCTCGACCGATTGTTGTCATTCTTTTCCAATACAAACCTTTGTTTTTATTTAGAAGATGTTTTATAGTTTCATCTTCTTTCAATTTCTGAGAGCTCCTACAATAGACATTATAAAGCATTACTAGAGTTCCTATATTATACTATTTTAATAGTCGGCATGTACAGCCCATTTCCATTCATGCCACGTTTGTCTATTTGTTGAGCAAACCAGGGATGATTGACTCCACCAAGACGCAGCTAAATTTTTAACATTTTTTTCGATTAAATATCTACAAGTAGCCAGAGATATACAAATTCTCTCTTTTTCGGGGTCTAATTGTAGAGCGATATTTGTTTTGGATAGTTCATCTGGTTTACAGTTACTAGAGCCTACATTATGTTCTGGTACGCAGTGCAGGTTTATCCTGAAATAGGATGGTAAATCCACTAAGAGATCCAGTAATTCTTTCAACATCATAGATGAAACCCCAGAAACTTTAGTGATTTCAAACCACTTAGCTATTTGTACACCTAAATATATTCCTTGTTGTAAGCACAATTCTCGTTGGATTTGAGTATATAATTTAACTGCAGAGTCAATACCTCCCACTCGATTAACTAGTTTGGACCTATACGTATAAATGATTATTCCTGCGTCAGTATTCAATCCGTATTATTAAATATAATGGGGAACTGCCTAAGTATCTTTGATCGTCACTATTACAGCCGACTAATAGGGAGGATTCTCTCTTCTTTTCTGGATCTACGACATTTTATTCATTACTCAGGCCCAAAACCGTAGGCAACCTTAACACAAAACTTATATTTGATAGCATGTTAATATAAGTTTCGGTAGAAGAGAGAGCTAAAAGTGTTTTGATTTAGACTTGAAGGTTACAAGGTAAAGTGAATAGGTTTGAGATGCAAAATACTACTATGAGCAAAAAGTAGTAAGACTCAGTGACATCTGTGCCAAATGACACAACAAAATACAAGTCATACAATACAAATCATTAGTGTTAAGTAAATTTTAAATTATTCAACAAAGAAGATCCATTAAAGTTTGTTGGCGGAATCAAATTTCTGATGCCGGAGCGTTCAAAATGTTGGAAAAGACCTTCGATGATTTGATAGATGAAAATGATACAAAGAGGGTCGTGAATGTCTTAACAACGAACCAGGTCCAGGGCGGTCATCAACATCACCTGATGATCAACACGTCAACAAGATAAAGAATTGTTGATGGTTGAAAATCGACGATTAATAGTCAGAGATCTTACTGACATCGTTGGAATGTCGGACGGATCCAAATCACTCAACGTTTTCGAAAAACAGTCTGGCTTTAACGTCTTTGAAACAATGCTTTTCGACTACCAGGATAACATGAATCATAATATTACTAGCGATGAGTCTTGGACCGAATATCGCAACAAAGGTAAGCCGAAGTCGAAAAAGCACCGTCAAAGAGAGTCAAAAGTTAAGATTATGTTAACAGTTTTCTTCGATTATCGAAGGGTGGTGCACTTTGCATTCCTTCCATCGGTCAAACTGTCACAAAGTAATACTATTTGAGTATTATGGGTTGTTTGCGTGAAGCTATTCGTGAAAAGAGGTCGGAATCAAGGGTCGACAAATTTAAATTTTTGCAACACGATAATGCACTGTCGTAGACTGCATTTATTCTTCGTTCTCTATTCGCCTAATTTAGCTCCATGTGATTTCTGGCGAGTCAGCAAATTCTAACTGAGCTTTGACGTGGCGTGACGTGACGTGACTCAAACGACCGAAAGTGTATGGAGATCAAGGTAGATTACATTTAGGGGCTCGACATAGATTTTGAAGAACAAATTAAAAATTTTAAAATTATAAACTAAGTCCTATCATTTTTTACACACAGTAGTACATTAATATTCCACAACAAATCAAGAAATGGTTAGAAAGCATAAAATATGTTTAAGATAGTTCCAGAATAAAAGCTATGTAATAAATGTTCGACAACTATTCAAAAAAGTCCGTTAATATTTAAAATTGAAATCACTCACTTCTCCTCACGCGGTTCCGTTTTCGTTTGAGCAGCGGTAGTTTCAGGCAGGAACAGCACCACAAATCCGCCAAAGAATGCAAAAGCTGTCAGCAAAGTCATCATGAAATGAATCTCAATTTTATTCTGAAAGCAACAATAATAGCAACAAAAATCAAATTTAATTGAAATACACGAATACATATGTAAAATATATATATAGTATGTGAAAGCCATAAATACTCAAGATTAATTGTTGATTTAAAAAATATGCGCCAACATTTTTGTGTAGCGAAGTGTGGCAAGTGATTTTTGTCAGATATATGCGCGCATTAATCACAAAACATTTGCACAGACTTAAACGTATTTTAAATTGAGCTGAGCTATCGCCACACCAGCCCCTCGCCACCCAAACTTACCAACAACGACAAATATGGCGTAAGTATCAGTGCGGCACCGGCGGCGACATTGCAAGCGCCCACGCCCACATTACGAATGGCGGTCGGATAGAGCTCAGCGGTGTAGACCGGCATAATGGTGTTGCCGGCGCTGATGGTGAACTTGCCTGCGAAAATAAAGATAGTCAGCTAGAGCATGCATACATACATATGTGGGAGCTTGTAAGTCAATGGACCATAAATTTGCGCTAAGTACTCATGTATGAGTGTGTTTGTGTGTATGTGTGTGCGCGCGCTTGTGAATGGCATTTATGCAATTCAATTAAATTCCGATTGACTTGTAACACATACTTGTGCGCACACATACACTCGCATACAAGAACATATTTATGGGAACATATTGGGACAAGCAAAATCACAGCGGCAACTCACCAATCATGAGGAATGTAATCTTCAGCCAGAGCTGGTCATCATTGCCCTCGGTAATGGCCGCGCAACAGCAGGCGATGCTCGTGCAGAAGAATGTGGCGCAGAAGAGCCACTTTTTGCCAACCTTTGTGATGATGTACATGGCGATGGCGATGGCGGGGATTTCGACTAGGCCAGCTAAAGCCTGTGGTTTTGTGTCGCATTGTTGTTGTTGATATTTTTTGTTATAAGAAGAGAACGAGAAAAATGCTATGATTGAGTGCCACATCGTATTGATTTGTTTCTTAATATATTATTTTATCGATAATTGTCGGTGCCAGTTTGGTTGGCGTTCGTACAAGAATTTTATGGATTAAACTTATGGACTAAAGTAAATATGTTTGCCATACTTTTTTTTGGTTCAATATGTCTAATTAGCGTTTACGAGCGTCATATATTAGCCATTAATTATAAAAAATTAAAAAAAAAAAATTAACAAAAAAGTAAGGAAGGGCTAAGTTCGGGTGTCACCGAACATTTTATACTCTCGCATCAAATACCGTATTTGTGTAAAGTTTTATTCCGCCATCATCATTGGTTCCTAATGTATATATTATACAGAGAAGGTATCAGACGAAATTCAAAATAGCGTTATATTGGAAGAAGGCGTGGTTGTGAACCGATTTCACCCATATTTCATACATGTCATCAGGGTGTTAAGAAACTATTATATAACGAATTTTATTGAAATCGGTAGAGTACTTCCTGAGATATGGTTTTTGGTCCATAAGTGGGCGACGCCACGCCCATTTTCAATTTAAAAAAAAAAGAAGCCTGCGTGCTGCTTCCTTATGCAATTTCTTCCGTAAAATTTAGTGTTTCTGACGTTTTTTATTAGTCGGTTAACGCACTTTTAGTGATTTTCAACATAACCTTTGTATGGGAGGTGGGCGTGGTTATTATCCGATTTCTTCCATTTTTGAGCTGTATATGGAAATGCCTAA